TTTCCAAATCTAATTAAATGCTTTCATCCAGTACCAGTCCATGGCCCAGGTATTGGGTACCACTTACATAATAGCAACTGTTTATGTAGGCCTAAAAAAAGAGGACTGAAACCAGCTCATAGCTTATCAAATCATTTGGATTTCTCTCCATGGCCCTTATCTATCAAAAGGTTGGGTTTTCTTTGCCATATTAGTCTCTGAGTGAGTAGAGCTGTCCAAGAGGTTTAACAAGTAGTGCTGCATCATGAAGCTGAGTCGTCTTGGCATTCTTCAGAAAACTTTCAGGGTACCGGGTTATGGATGACCACAGGGGTCTCCCTGCTGCACATTCCATTAAAATCTAAACAGGGAACATTATATATCCGAGACAGCAGAGGGAACAAAGAAGAGAGAAAGGAAGAAAGAGAGGAACAGGGGGAAAAAAGGAAAGTGTGGGAGAGGGAACGGGGGAATGCAGAAACTGTGAAACAAATGGAAGATTAGAGAGGAGTGAATAAGCAAAATGAGTTCAAGGAGGTATAGCCAGCCGGCAATCTTGTGTTGGACTGCATGTTCCTTCAGTTCAGATAGCACACATAATATCATAATTGGTCTTGGGAAACCCAAGGTCAAAGGCCTCGGCATTGCTCAGTCTCCCCTGCATCATTTGCTACATTATTTATTTTATAAATGGGTCACTTCCTGTTGCACAAATCCTTCAAACAATACTAAAAATATCCCTCTGTGTGCTTGCTACATGGACAGACAACACCGAAAAATAATTCAAAATCTGGTGAAGATGAATTTCTGTATGTACATTTCCATTTAAATTAATAATCTATTACAAAAACCTGTTTCCAACTTTCCCGTTCATGCAGCATTTACAACACCTAACAAGGAGTGAATGTAGCGGTCTGGAGTTAGAAACCGTTGTTAATAATTCTCATTTTGGGGAAGCTCTGAATCATGGAGATTGCTTCCAGGTGTTTTAGAGAGGCAGTAAAGCTGAACGGCACTGGGGAAGGTACAAACACGATGCCTAAACCTGTGGCGCAGCCCACAGAAAACAGTTGCTACACGCCGAAGTTGAGGAAAGGCATTATTATTCTAGACGTATCCCTGAGAACATCAACAGAAACACAGGCAAATCCAACACGCATTTCAAGGGGATCATAAAACAGAAGGCTGCCTTTAATAGCTAATTTTAAAATGAGCATGAAAAGCACGTGTTTCAGCAAGACATGAGAGGTTTCAAAGCAAACTATGAAAGCCATTCTGCTGGCTGGATAAACAGCCTGAATAAACCATGTAAACTAATCACAATCTCAAGCAAATTAAACATTCGAGACTACCTCCTCCCAATATATCTCATGAATAGTTTGTAAATGGTAGGATCTTAAAAAAAGTTTTTCAAGACAATCATTTAAATTACTCCCTGTGTTTGCGTTTCGCTTTAATGGGTTTTGCACAACAGTTCACACAGAGACGGTGGGGGGGGGAAAAGCTCCAGATCAACGAAAACCCCCACATGCATTCAAACCAGAATGTGTTCCTATTAATGGACGACCACAAACTTGCTCAGTATGACACTAAAAGTGAAATGCTGCCTATCGAAGTAAAAATGACTCGACTGGAAACCGCATGCCTTCTCGAGAAAGCAAATAACTCCCCTGCAAAAAGAAAAAAGAAAGTAACACAACCACGACCTTATTTGACTGTCTCTTTCTCACTCAGCTCCAGTCTCTCAGCCAGCATGAGGAGGCCCTCTTCACTGTGAACACCCTTGAACTTTTGTGTATAAAGTCACTTCCTCCAAGGTGTGAAACCACTTCAGAAGTTCACAGCTGGATTTTTGCACTGTGAGGTGCATGTTCATGTGTGTTGGGGGTTCTGCACTTACGCTCTGTCTCTCACACATCTGATGGAGGTAGGCCCTTCCTCCAACAATGACTATCTGAGCATTGCGTGGGTTGCTCAGGTATGCTGCCAGTTGCCTCTGTCTCGACCGGTACCAGCACACATAGAAAAATATCTTTATGACGATGAATATAATGACAACTCTGTAAAGGACACAAAAGAATGAGAAGGAAGGTTGATCAGATTCAAGGATCAGTTTTAAGCTCCGTATTTAATTAACAAAAAATACATACAATATACTCACATGTACCAGTATAGCTCCATTATTGCGAGATGTTAATTATTAAGCAGAGAGTCTCATAGCTGAGGAAGAAGACTGCAGATTCCTGCCCAAAGAAAAAGGAAAAACTTCCACTTAAAGCAATTTTTAACTCATTTTTCACCAAGGCTATTCAACCAAAAAGAAAAAAAATCCATCGCACTGTCTTAACTAATCATTGAAGATTTCACATGGAATGTGTAACCCTCAAGCCGCTATCCACACAGAGCTCGGGTTAAGCACTTTTATGCAACTTAAAAAAAAGATGGTGAGTTCAACACGGCGGTTTGTCAGTTAGTATAGCTTCCTGGTCTAGTAAAAGCAGACACAAGAACAAAACTTACTCTGTAGCGACAAGTCGGTCTTCTTGATTAGCTGACGAGGTGTGCCATTCCCCCAAGCGTCTTCGGGGATGTGATGAGAGTGGAGCTCCGTGAGTCAGATGAGGCTACGGCTAGTTTAGAGCTAGCAGGCCACAACAACAACAACAACAGGAACAGCAGCAGCCGTACACTATTTACCCACACCGCAAGAAAAACAACGACGGAGATTGGGCTGCTTGGTGAGCATACCTTCCTGCTCTTATATACAAGTTCATAAGCTAGTTACTACAACAGCTACACGCTGGCTTAACCCTGGAGAAACAACTAAACTAGTCCTACAGAGTTTTAGCTAGCTCTGACTGACTGAGCACGCCCCTGTGTTCAGCGATGCCTTCGCTTTCACAGTGGGCGGTGTTCAAATGTTCACAGGGTTCCTGTCTTCATGCTTCCCGTAAACTGCCCCCTCTTGGGAACAAATTATTGGACGCAGTTATTATAATTAATCGCGTAAATTTCCCCGTTCAAGTGTTGTCTGTTTGAAACAGAACTTATTTAGAGTCGAGTAGCATCAAGCTAATTCGTGTTCGGTATGCGAACCAGAAACGTTATCTTGGGTACGTTCATGGTTTATAATTTTTTAATTATTAAAAACCCAACAACTTTTAACCCCTTCGTAAAAAAGAAACACCTAAATCTGTCTGTTTTTAGATGATTTACAGACGTGTAATATAAAGCTACGAGACTCATATCTCAGCAGCAGCACTGACGCAGAAACAGTAATAAAAAGCGACATTTCCAAGATAACTGCTACAACGATTTACTGGGGGTCCATCACAAATTCCACTATTTCCGAGGGTCATGGAACGTAGCACGAGTTCTAGGGACGATTGGGTACACATGGGATACAGTATTACACAAGAATGAGATCAGTGCAAATATTTGGAAGCATAAACCCATTAAACGCGAGATTTATAGAGGTTTTTATTCGTGCTGACCTCCAGCAACAGTATCTCGGACGTAAGAAGATCGAAGCTGTTAATCAAACTTTGTTCCCTTGATAGAAAAATGCATATATACTTTGGATAAACTGGATTTACGAAACGCCTCTTCTGTGAAATATCAATATTTTCTGTTTTTGCTCAATAGATAGGCTCAGTTCCAAATTATAGGGTGATAAAAAGCTTTATGGATATATGACCGCCTCTGAAAGCCTAAGGGAACATTTAATGGTCTGGTTTGTCTCTAATTATTCCCTGCTTTTGCTTTTTTATCCTGTTTAATCCAGGCCTGTGACATTAGCAATGTTTTGAAGTTAAAAATAATAGAGGGAAAACAGACTAAATTCAAAGCAATCTTGCTAGCCATTGCTTAAAATGAGACATTAAGTTGAGACAAGTTTTAATATTGGTTTATTATTACGGTTTCCAAATTCTATATGGAAAATACTTGCAAAAATGTAAAAAAGGGCACGTCATGCAGTACATAGCTCAATGCGTTACCTCCATCTAGTGGTGACTGTTTCATACTTCATTTCTAAAAATGTAATTCTGTACACAACAAATAAACTAAACTTGACAGGAAAGCATCCATAATATTTTCTAGACCTGTATTTTATGTATATAAAAAAAGAGCTTAACATGTAAAAGATGTGTTAAATTATCATTGGACCTTACACCCCAAAAACAACTTACAAATGAAGGAAGAAGTGTAGCTCCAATGAAAATTATCTCTACAATAAACAAGAGCACTCGAGAGAGTGCAACTCCCCTAGAAGGACAAAGGCTACGCTAAAACATGGTTGTTTTATGATGTTTTATTACAACAAGCTCACATCAGCCTGGTTTTATTAAACTTGCTAACTTTAGCCGGCTTTTAATACACACTGACGTCAGCCTGGTTTTATTACAGCACCCTGATGTGTGACCTTTAACCTTGAAGCATTACATACTAAAATGATGTATTTTTATTATCTTTGGCTGTACAAGCTATAGAAACCTGAGATTTTAAGATATAGTTATGCAGTGTGTGAGTTTGTAAAAATTTATGGGGTCATTGTAACGCTGTAGGGCATTGTACTGAAAAAGTTAATGTGTTGTAGAGCTCTGTCCATGCGCTTTCATATGAAGTATTACTCAATATAGTTCCTTGAATTACACCCCCGCCCAAAGATTAACTTTGACCTTGGAGGGCTTACAATGAAGGTCCCCCAATGAAGGTCTAATCTATTGTTGAGAAGTTTGAAGCCAAAATATAGTGGGTAATATAAAGTTTTTACTGAAGTTCACATTTGATGTGAACTAAAATGAAAACAGCTTAAGCTGCTATTGGTATCTGCCATCGAACAAGATTTGAAAATGATATCTTGAAAACTGACTGCTAACGACAAACAGAACTTATTACATACTTCCTTCCCTGGGAGGGTCCAAAACACACACACACACACACACACACACACACACACACACACACACACACACACACACAGCTTCAGTTGTATGTTTGTTCCCAAGTGTTTTATTTTATTCAAAATCAAGATCACAATCTAGTAAAAAAAACAAACATTTATAAATTAGTAGCACGGGGCCATGTGATCCTTTGATCTCTGCTTTGCAAGGCTCTACACCAAATGCTACACCAAAGCTGTAATTGTTTAACAGCCTCTGACACTATGTGAAGGTGAATTCTCCAGTTTTTTTGTCCAGCAACACATCTAACACACACTCCTCATGCTTCCATAACGCTGAATCACACATCTAAGGTCCTTATCTGTTATCTTCCACAATTATAGTCCGTCTTGGGTAGACATCCATGTCCACAAATATATAACGAAACTCATATTTTCCAGTTTCAGGATTCTGTAAAATCAACAACAAAAAAAACTGTTGATTAAACACATATAAAAACATCAGCGATGTGACGGCCATCACATATGAAACTAGGTAAAGCTTTAGGAAGACACACAGTGCCACTTACTGGGGATTTACACTTCAGTGTGAAATCTACCCATTGAAGCCGTTTTGTAACTGCAAAATCCTCTGAAACTCTATGACGTAACCTGACATGCACCTGAATCTAACTACACGTCACAGCCCGCAACCACTGTGATTGGTCTGTCCAGTACAGCCGATTTCTTCTGTGCATTTTTGGGAATACTTTTTTGCCACGTTTTTTCAATTTAACTGTGAGAGAACAACAATCACTGCCTCAATATAGGGAATAATAATTACAACATCAACATAAACTTACCCGTAATACACCTGCACAAGCATAAATGCTGGCAACAACGAGCCTACGATAAGTAGGCTACATTGTAGGCCCCACAAAAGCATCTTTTCCACTAGCACCTACTCGGCTTATCTCAATTTGAAAATTACTAAATTTTCTATTAGATGGTAGTACTTGTTACTAGGTACTTTTTGAGTACCTATTAGTCTGGATTTCCAAGCGAGCTGAGTCAAGCTGAAAATATGACATCAATAGACCACAAGCCACTGATTGAGCAGAGGATGACATCACTGGGTGAGTCATGAGAGCAACTCCTTCATAAGAACACAAACCAACAGCTTGGTCCAATGATGAGATGCAGAGTTTTAGCATCAGTTTGGTAGCAGGTAAACAATTGGCTTGATGCCCTCCTGTTTCAGAGGTGTGTAGAGGGCTCGGGGGCAATGGCAGGGTGGCTGGCTAATTATGCTCTCCCTAGTTAGTGACGACAGAGGAGTGCAGTGCTGCTTCACACCTCCATTTTTGCATTGTGTGTGTGTCACATACAAATAACGCCAGGGGACTTCCAGGTCGCCTTGCTACAACGATCCCACCTACATCGAGGTGGTACTCAAATATGATTAAAAATGACCGAAACTGAATAGAGCAGAGTCGAGTTGAGTAGGTGCTAGTGAAAAGACACAAAACATTCACCGCAGAAATGTCAATCAGTGCTTGTGCATGTATGTATTTCATAAGCTGGCTTTTGAGTGGCAGAATACCAACCTCTTTAGACTCTGTATGCACTGTCCCCTTCACTCCCGGCTCTGAGCCCTCAATGTAAAACTTAAGTCTCATATGCTTCATTCCATCCTTCAGGTACTCGATATGACTGAGGAGAAGAGACAAAGACTGCCATTATACATGCTACCTTAACTAAAAGCGGGCTTTGTTGCTGAACTTGTTTGACTAATTAACAAAACACCAACCTGACTTGCTGCCTCCTTCCTCGACGGGTGGTCTCCCCGTAACATTTGATTGGCTCACCAAATGCACCAATTACCTACATTTTCAATAAACAAGAAACTTTTTATATGACCTCATAAGATCATCAAGAGGACCTTAAATACTGAACTGTAACATTGTTAAACTGGCCTCATGTTTGACAGTCACTAATATCGTTCATACCTCTGGGTGTGACTTGACTTTATCGAAGGCTCTCCCATACACTTTATTTGGACTCGCGGATGCAAACAGCTCTTGGAACACCACATACAGCAGCCCACCTGACAACACACACAGACGTCATTTCAAACAGGATGATGAATTGCTTGGGCTACGACTGCAGCTTTTTAATTCCGCTGTATTCACCTGTCACTCCAAGCCCGATGAGTACCACGATCAGGTAGGTGAAGTCCCTGCCAGCTTCTTTCACTGGAAGGCATTCAGTGTGGAGGGTTATTATGCAACAGCTATGCATAGTTTTCATTTATATTAACAAAGTTAGAATCTCACTAATAAAGGCAAGTGTTTGTTCAGTTATTCAGTAAATAAACTCCTGGGTCATTTTAAGATATTTCCTCTGCTGCTGGTGATAATCAGAGCGATTGATTGAGATTATAAATACAATAATTGTGTATATTTTAGTCCCAAAACTGCTGCTGCAGTGGAATAAATCATTGCTTGGTTAAATATAGTACATTTTCTCCACAGTGCCTACGGACAAACCCTAATGGTGTGCTTTGAAAATAGCAGGCTATCATGAAACTACGCTCCTAATATCGGAGTACATATATGAGCACGACTTAAATCCTTTTTATTTCCTCGCCTTGCATACCTTTTTGTGCAGCTGAAGGCTTTGGACTCCCACTCTGGAACTTGGACACTGACCTGTCTCGGTCCTCGGGGCTGCTTTTATTTCTGGCTGTAAAGTCGAGACAAATACCCCGCCGTCTGTGTGTTTGTATTAAGCAGCTTAGCACAGGCGAATTAGCCTCTAGTCCACTGTGGAAGGCCAGTCTTGATAATGTTGACACTCTCCTGTGCGTATGGATAAGCACGCTGACCTGTGGTGCTCTGTGCTGCAGATTTCGGTGCAGGACCTTCAAAACCTGAATATAAGCCATGATTTGATTTGAGCGAGCCCCTTCCCAATATCGCAAAACTACACTAACCAGCCTACTGTGTGGTTTAAGTAAACAAAACGGACTTAGTATACATGAATTCACAGCTCACAGCACTAAACTAACCCAAAACACTGGGCAACAGGACTGGTTAAAGTCAGTCACCGGATTTGTGCTTCACCGGCGCACAATATTGCCGTCACTCACCGTTAAAGCGACAGCGCAGCAATGAAACGTCACTCGCTCTTCATCATCGTCTACAGCGAAAACGTCTTCAACAAAATAAAATAAAAAGTTCCAAAAAAAATCTTTAAGAAAAAAAAATTACCGTTACAACTAGAGAATGCATTTCCTGGAGAAAATGCAGTGTGAATGCTGATACATGAATATTTGTTTGTTTTTTAAGGTGCTGAAATATTTGGGAAGCTTGTTAAATTTAACTGACATACACCAAATCTTTCACCTAAAAGCCAAAGTGCAGAAATGTTGAAAGCTGAAGTTCACACAGAAGACGAAGTTTCAAAGTTGGAAAGTAACTGAATATCTTCAAAATGTACATTAGAAAGAAAAAAAACTGAGTACCGGTAATGACCAAAGAAAATTTAGAGTCAGAAAAAATCTAAATGAATATTAAAATTTCATATTCTTTAAATCACTTTAAGAGTGGAATTATGTTTTTTAAAGGTCCAAACACAAGAATCTCAAATAAAAAAAAAATTTGCAAAACATCTGCTGTGTGTGTGTGTGTGTGTGTGTGTGTGTGTGTGTGTGTGTGTGTGTGTGTGTGTGTGAGAGAGTTTCAGCAAGTGAGTGAATTACCATGTAAGAGGGACATCAAATGAGCAGGTAAATTAGTTTTTAATAGTTTTTTTTTTTGTTTTTTTTTTGTTTTTTTTAGATCTGCAGATGTCTTGCTGCAGTCTTCACACAATGGGAAGTGTGTTAATTATGAATGTATTTGTCAGTTTTGGAGGTAAGTTGAATTTATTTGCCACAGACACTGACAAAATCTACTGCAATTTACTCCTGACTCCATGCACTCTGACGTGAACCTTGGAATGCATAATTTCATACTTCAGTTAATGGTTGTCATGTCCAAATGGTCCAAATAGACTCTGGAGCATTAGAAGAAGCTTTAGAGTAATTTTTCAGAAATTAGAAGTACAATAAAAAAGGTCAAAACTTAAAAAAAGGGAAATTTGATTGGAACAGGTTTTGATTTTATTCACATATTACACAGCTGTGTTGCTGGCTGAACAGGCTCAGGCAAAAGCAATGCCGTGCCTGGCCTATTGTTTAAGTATCATTAAAGTTAGAGCTTGTAAAATCTCACCATTAGATGTCAGTAGATTGCAGATTCCAGTCAAGTGAATTCACTTTTTCATCCCTCCTAATTCAAATCTATAAACCAAGCTACAGTAGCTCTGCTAACTCTGGTAATGCTGACTATCGTTCAGTATATCTTTTGTTTGATCTTTTTATTTGCTTTTTGGACAAGTGAATTTACAAAAATCTCTTGAATCAAATTTACTTTGGTGGACAGAAAAAAACCCTTTGTAGACTGTTTGGGGAACTTTAGTACAGTGGAACCCCAACTTACAAATACCCCATTTAATGAAAAAATCAAGTTAC